TTTCAAAATTTTATGTTTTTTTTAACTTTTTTAAAATTTTTTGGCTGTTAATCTTGAATATGTATTCCATACTTCAAATCGTAAATTCTACACATGTTGCAGCGTTTGAATATCTTTTGATTATCAAAGTCTTTGAATCTTTGATAGTGAATGAATGATTCTTTAGAATTTCGGGTACACGCGGCGCTTTACAAAAGCTCTTATTTAAGTGTCTCATTGATTTATTGTGATCAAACTTACTGAAATAGAATATTTTAATATTTTCGAAATGAATATTTGATTGCCCAATGAAATAGAGCTTCAGGTGTCAAAATAGCTTCTGTCGGTTTTTGTAGGAGACTTACTCGATAAGCTTCTCGCTTGAAAATAGCCCCTAAACCGTCATATCCGCTCTTACCGTGTGCAGTAACACAGTAATGCCATTCCGCGTCCAGTTCGAAATCTTCTTTATGGTTGAGCAGATTAGCGATTTGGAACCGATTTTTAAAATGCTGCTTTATAAACTATATTACACAAATTTAAAGCCGGTAAACGAACAAATAATTTTTATCAACAAAGGCATTTTTTAATCTACGCTATCATACATTTTTTGCGCGTCATAAGTTAAAAATTAAATTATTTTTTTCTCTTTCGAAGTTATACAGCGACACCATTTTGAATTTTCGAAAAGACCACGGTTCATTTAAAAGCTCTTTTCAAGACGAACATTTTCCGGGGTCAAACGTTGAAATCCGTCCATATCAATTTTGGACAGAGGCTTGGTCGATTTGGCAAAGAATGCCCCATATATATATACATATATACACGTATGCATTCCTGACGATAGCAATTTTAGTTTCACGCGATGCACAAAGTCTACCCTATTACGCTGCGACTAATACCGTCCGTCTTTTATCTTCTGCTTCCTTTTTTTTTCTTCTTAACTCTACTTTAAATCATTATTATTTCTTTACATTTATTTATTATTTCTTTACAGATACGTTTCATTAGCTCATCTCGACGCGCGTTATTCCGCGTCGCATGACGCACTTTCCTTCCGAAATTTCCCGTGCTTTCCTCACTTGGAAACGTATCGCACATGTCATTTCGAGAAGTGCGCCCAAGGTCACCCGATCCGAACAAGCCGCTGACTTATCGACCGGCCATCCAATTATTGACTGATCAGCAAGGAAAATTTCTCCATCGTTTTCATTTGTTTACGAAATCTTCAGTTGATTCCGTCTAGACTAGTCCTTTATCGAGTCCTTTTCCAATCTTTATTTTTTATTATCAACCTTTGTTTTCGTTTTCTTTTTTTCATGCTAGAAAAGGAACTTTTTTGTGATTGTTAATCACAAAATCAGATGATTGAGATCATGCATTTTCACGTCACGTGCTGCGCGGAATTTGCGTTACAAAAATAATATAAACAAATTTTTATTGATCTTTTCATTGTGGCACATATTTGCTCACGATTTTCGGTATTCTTCCATTGTATCCATTCTTCGTTCTATTTATTTGGGATTGTAGTCCAATTACTCTTGCACTTTATTTACTTTTGCACATTTAGTTAATTGTTTTGATTTTGTTTATTGCAATGGAGACACACATTAGCAATTGTAATAAATCATCTAAAGATATCGTTAACGTACTTGTTATCTTGTGTCAGATTCATAATGTTAACATGGAGGAGTTAAGTTCTATAGTGAAGAACAAGCAAAACTTTAATAATTATGAATTGTGGATGAGTGAGCAATTATCCAAACAGTTGGTTAACGGTGAAGTCGACATAATTAGTGAGACTACTTTAGAGTGTGATCCAGATACAGTTGATGAATCACAACTTCCTGATTGTGAAATGTACAACAACAATGACGATAGTGATAGCCAAGATCAGGAATACATTCCATCTTCATCCAAGAAAGCACGAGTGATTACAGCTAATGTGTCACCACACAAATTTGAGAAAGCTTGGCGAGAATGGACTAAACAAAAGGATTCAACCAAATCAACCGACTATAATTGGAAGAACTTCCTTGGCAAGGGCAAGAAAAAGGCAATGAATAAAATCGTGACCTATTATCATTTCAATCATGATCCACAGTTGAAAAGCTTAAAACGGTGGGCAGAACGAAAGAATCGAGACATTATTTCCATGAGGGAATTAAACAAGATAATTTATGAACAGTTTCTGGATCATCGTAGTAATAACAGAATTGTAACTGATCGAATGCTTCGACTTTGGGCAATGAAGCAGAGGAATCTATTAGGCAATGAAATAGCAGAGAAATTTGTTGCCTCGAAAACGTGGTTATATAATTTAAAGCGGAGATTCAACATAGTGTCACGTAGTATTACACATAAAGTAGGAAAGAATTGGTTTAATGATGACGCAAAACGGGTCCCCCGTGCGTGGAGAGACTTGTCGTGGCACGGGGACTCACCCGGGGCCCTCTAAGAGGGTCCCGGGTGCCAATACTCCACAGTACGGAGTCCCTCGTTAGATAGAGGGACTCTGTACGCTCGGGTCTGGCGTCCCAAGGGCCCTCCACACTCC